TTGAAATTGTAAATATTTTCCCCAGTTTATCATTTGCTTTTGGCATCTTTAGACACGCAGAAATTTGTTCTTATACAATTTTATCAATTTCCCTTATTTATTCTACATAATGAATCATGGTTAGGAAGGTTTCTCCTCTTCCGGGTCATAAAAGAATTCACCCATAATTTTCTGCCAGTACTGAGATGGTTTCATTTTTACATTTAGATCTTTGATCCATTTGGAATTCGTATGGTGAGCAGTGGATCCAATTTTATCTTTTTGCATTTAGCTATCAAGTTGTTCCAACATGATTTTCAAATGTCTTCCCCTCCCTCCCCGATTTAGATGCTGCCTTTATCATAACCAAATGTCCACGTGCACTTGGGTATACTTCTGTGTTTTCCATCCTGTGGCATTGGACTCTTCAGGTGCCAGTATTCATTGTTTTATTCTGGTAAAACCAGCCCTGCCTCCTCCTCTTCCTTTGCAGGGGTTTCCTGGCTACCTTTGCTTATTTATTTTTTCAAATGAATTTATAATTAATTAGTTTGTCTAACTTTAAAAAATCCCAAATGACATTTTTATTGGTATTGCATTAAATGTACCTCGGGCAGAACTGACATCTTTATGATGAAAAATCTTGCTGTGCAAGAACATGGTATGTCCTTCCATTGGTCTAGTTCTACTTTTATAGCTTTCTGTTGTATTTTAGCACTTATATAAGTTTTGCAGATTTCTTGCTCAGTTTTTTCCTAAGTAGTTTCTGTTTTGGTTTGTTTTCAGCTTGTAAATAGAATCTGTTCTCTATTACTTCTTCTAATCGGTTATTATTTGTACATATGAAAAATATTATGTCTATATATTAATCCATGTCCTCTACTTTACTAAATACTCTAGCTTTCCACAGATTCTTTTGGGATTTGCAGATATATAATCACATCACCTAACTAAATAGTAATTGCTTTACTCATCCTTTTTAATTTTTAGGCCTCTTGCTTTTATCATTTTTTACTTTTTGCCTAATTGTGTCGTATACAATACAATGTTAAATAATAGTGGATATACAGTCATACATCGCTTAACAACAGGGATACTCTGAGAAATACGTCATTAGGCGATTTCGTTGTGCGAACATCATAGAGTGTACTTACACAAACCTAGAAGGTACAGCCTACAGACACTTAGGCTGTACGGTACTAATCTAATGGGACCACCATCATATACGTGGTCCATCATTGACCAAAACATTATGTGACACATGACTGAAGTACATCCTTATCTTGTTTTTGACTTGAATGGAAAAACCTCTAGTAGTTTCCCAATTGAGTATGATGCTGGCTTTGGGAATACATGTATGTATGTATACACACACACACACCTTTTGAGAAGAATTATCCATTCTCATTTGATTGTGTTTAATATGGATATTTAATGAATTTTTGTCAAATGCCTTTCAGTATCCACAAAAACTATCATATAATTTTTCCTCCTTAGTTCTATTAATATGATGAACTATATAGAGGATTTCCTAATATTGAACCACCCTTGCATTCCTGGAATAACTTCTCTGAGTCATTGTTAATAGGGTAGGCCAGAATAAGCTGGAGTAACAAATGGCTGCCAATCTTAGGGGCTTATAAGGGCTTATTTCTCACTCATGCCACATGTCCCATTGTGGGTTGGCTATAGCTCTGCTACACATCATCTCCATTCCAGAACCCAAGTCCTTGGAGTAGCCGCCACCTGGAACAGTACTGACCTTAGGGAAGAGAGAAGAGAGAACGTGGTGAACCAAGGGCTGGCACTTCAAACTTTTACTCAGATGTCTTGCCTATCACTTCCACTCAGTTCACACGGTCCCACCTAAGTTCAACAGGCAGGAATATATAATCTCCCCGTAGAGAACAGCACCGCCAGGGAGAGGTACCAAAATATTCTGTGAAAAATAATACAGTATACCACTTACTATATGTCATTGGATTCAGTTTGCTAATATTTAGTACTTTGCAACAACATTCATAAGAGAGATTGGTCTACAGTTTCTTTCTCACTTTATAAAAATAATTGGGAAGTAAAAAATTACTTTCTTATTAAGACTGGAAGGTGACTGACAGTAACATGGTAGCTAAATTTAAAAGATAAGCATTATTGTTATATGGAAGAAAAATAATCCCTGCCTTGAAGACTTATTATTTGATAATAAAAGGCCTTTAATATACTGGTCCATGCCTGGGAACCAAACCTGCAAACCCGGACTGCGGAAGCAAAGCGCGGAACTTAACCACTGTGCCACGGGCTGGCCCCAGAGCGCCATGTTTTTAATACTTTCATCTCCTACTTTTCTACCCTGGATCATAAAATGCCACAGTTTTTCTGTACACATTCCTGACAATACTTTCAACTGAGCAACGCTGCTGAAGTCAGCCGAAAGACAAGCCTGGACTATGAACTGGTTACTAAGGAGACAAGAATCTTCCTGTGGGTGGAGCCTGGAGGTTTTCCTATCACCCTCCACCTCGTTCTTGACCCTCCCAGTCATCAGGCCGCCTGTGTGTACGACGTCTTTTGCCCAAGCATCCCAACGAGCAGTATAAACATTGCCTCACCTGTAAAACAGGCGACCGGTCAATATTTACTCATATTTTTCATATGGGAAAACTGAAAACAGCAAATAGTCAAGTGGCCTAAGGCTGCTTGCCTTCAGAAAACGCTCGAGAGCTGCTGTCTATTGAGCATTTCCCGGACCTTTCCACTATGCAGAGGACAGAGGCCACTATCTGTCAAGTTCTGGCTGTTTCTTGTGTATGTAATTTATTTCAGCTTCATCTTGCTGTAGGCAACTTTACCAAAACTGGGAGTAATAAAACCTTGTCTTCTCAGGTATTATTAAATCCCTGGACTGGTGAATGTGGATGGCTGGAGAGAAGAGAGGTAGGAGGAAGCCAGTTCTAGAAAAATGGAATAAATGACAGTGAAATTTGTGATTTACTTGAAAGTCATAAAGGTCTTGTCAGTACACATTCAGCACAGGCTCTTAGACCTCTTTGAACAGTAGAATTATATACTTACTTCAAAATCTATGATGGCCACAAGCTACATGCAAAATGCTAACGCTGGCTTTGACACTATGGCCAACTTACCCTTCCAGAGCTTTCTTTTACTCTATCTTCAACTAAACAATATATTGGCCAAATTGGATCTTATTTCTGGGAGAGAGCTCACATTTCCCCCTGCTGCAGCCTTGTTTCATGTTCTTCCTACTTGCAAGGCACTCTCCATGCAGCCTCTTGGATTTCTCCTAATAGCTTTCTCTCTCTTCTGCACCATTTTAGCACCATTGCTCGAAACTCTTGGAACAGTGGAATAACACACTGTTACTGACCAGCCCCTCCCCATCCTCTCAGCACACCATCTGGTAAACAACTTGTGAGTGGTGGCCATGCCCATCGTTATAGTGGAGGCACATGGGACTCAGATTACCATTTGTCAGCTGTGATCTCTCTTGCGCAGTCTTTATAAATCTATAATTCTTACAATTCTAGTGAAGCCCTTTCTCCAGTCACTGGGCTGTCCTGTCTCTATTATGGGGTGTGCCAGGGGCACTTGCTCCGGCTCTGCTCATGGTGAAAAGTCGCCTTTTCCTCTGATGACACTGCATTATCCAGGATGTCTTCAATGGGAGGCAACAGCTGAGTCAAAGTGATTACCGGAGATACAGGAAGTAGTGGGCTGCAAATACACGTCATTGCTGCACTTGAAGAAAAGGAAAGACAACGTCGACTGCGATGACCAGGCTCTGGCCTGTTCACAGTCACCCATGAAGGCATTAATATGTACACACATGAAGTAAACTTAACTGGAAAAAATACCCAAGATGGTGACTTTGAAATAGAAATCAAGGATCTTTTCACTACATAATACTGTTTCCTGTTAGCTGGGTTAGAAAAGCCTCTTAGTTCATTCAAATTCTACACAAACAAAAATTGTTACTTACTTTTACTTCAGAACAGAGGGCCCAGCCAGGCCCTGGCTTTCTATGATTTGGCCATAGCAAGAAGAAAACTGGCCAAGACTGAAAGGAAGTGATAGTTGTCAGAGAACAGTCAGACAGGAAGCAATGCAGAGACTGCCACACAGCAGAGCAGCACATAACTGTTAAAGAATAAAGCAGCACCAAACTGTCTACAGTGATCTACTATTTATTTTACAAGACTGTAGAGCCTGCGATACTTATCAGTAAACACACGGGCGAAAGGGCTTCAGGGAAAGAGAGTTTTCACTGTATAATCTATTCAAAAAAGATATATTTTTAAAGAAGCAAATTCCAGAATAGAAATAACTTCCAACAATTGAAGGTCTCGTACTCTACCAGCGTGTTTAAGCTTAATATTTTCCAAGAGGCTTCTCTCCAATGAATATTAAGAATGTAGGAAAAGAGCTCATGAACGTCCTGGATTGCAGGCAATTCTGAGGGTGACACTGGCCTTGTCAAAGCAAAGGTACCAGATTTCTGGGTTTTGTAGGCTCTGGTGCTCAGAGGCAGGGACGATTTCTGGCTCCACAATACTGTCCCCTTAGAGGATGAGTGAAACCCACAGGGGTGAATCTCGAGTACGTGGCACAGTCGTTTGGAAAGCAGGAGGATAAGGACCTGTCAGCCTTAAACTGACTTTCCTCTGTTAGTTTACACGTGCTCACGTACACAGAGAATATTTTAAGGTTTCAAAATGTTTGGATTAAAGGAGTTATTTCGCAAATCTTCAACTGGGCAGGCAGTTGGTGACTAAAACAGAAATAAGAAGATAAAACAACAATGAAGCAAAAACAATATTCCAAAATGACTGAGAATGTCCACAAGCTACTTAACAACATGAATTCAGGGTAGAGTTCCTCCTCAGCATTCTAATGTGAACAATTAAAAACCTCTTCACTGCTAGCAAACCTCGGGTCTTCTCATTGATGGGGCTGAAAACGATGGGGAGGGTGTGGGGAGAGGAAAAGAAAAGAAAGATGAGAACTAGCAAAAGTCAACAAGCATTTTATTATTCACACTGATTCCTTTTATTCTGTGCTTTGCTTTTATACACAGAACTTTCAAATAAATTCTTATAAACAGAGTGAGTTTCTTTCTGATTAAATAAAAAAACCACAATAGTGTTCATTGTGGTCAAATTAGAATTACAGCAGAATCACCATATGCCAGCACACACAATCATGCCCCTGGTGGCTGGAAAACTGGCTGGCGGCCCTGGAGGGTACATGGTGATGAGGGAAGGCCACGCTTGGAGAAAGCCGGGTCTTTCTGATCACCTTCAGTCCTCTTTCCCTTCATCACCATTCTCCGCACTGCGCTTGAACACAGGAATCTGCTGACCATCCTTGAGCTGTAAGAAGACCTCCTGAAGGTGCCACCTGACGGAAAGAAATCAAAAGGATAGAAACCAAAACCAAGCTCAGAGACACACAGAACAGATGGGTGGGTGCCAGAGGCGGAGTGGGAGAAATGTCAGCTTTTTTTTTAGTTTAAATAAACAAAATATTTTTTTAAAAAAGAAGGAGATTTGGGAAATTAACAAATAATTGTAACAAACAATATTCTTCCAAACAACCAATGAATCAAAGAAAAACTTACAAGGAAAAGTTTTAAATATTTGATGATGAATGCAAATGAAAACACAAGATACTAAAACTAACAAATGCAGTCAAAGCAAGAAGCAGGAAGGAAATAATATAGTTTGGAACAGAAATAAGTGAGAGAGAATACATGCAATCAACGAAACCAAAAGTTGTTTACAAATTAACAAACCATTAGCCAGACTGACCAAGAAAAAAAAATATATTTAAAATTATTCAAATCAGTAAAAAAAAAAATGTATAGTCTCTAATCAATGGAACACTGAGGCAAAAGACATGCTCAAAAAGGAAAAGAAGCAGTTGTTTGGAATAATGTCTTAAAATGTTTTAAATAGTATTTTATGTTAGAGCTGCCTTAACATTTTAAGATTTTATTACGGGCTCTTGTTACTTAACCAGCATCACTGTCAAGCAAGTTCAACAATGAATGAGCGCCGGTCAATGGAAAGGCCGGCAGGAAAGAGAAGGAGCAGTTTAGTCCCCGTCTCAGAATGCACGTCGACCTTTCACTCTTGGCTGGAACTTGGCCAGCTCCTCCACTAAGCCCAGGCTCAGGGGTCAAGGAGCCCAGGGGAAGCCAGGTGGGGGCTGCCTAAGAGCTGCCTGCTCCTTTTGTCCTCGGGAATTAAAACACATCCTGGCTAAACAGCAAACATCTCTGAGCGAGGCTTCCCGGGGGAAGTGAGTGAATGCAGCTATTGGCAACCAGACAAGAAAGGCCAATTAACAGGGTGGAGAGCTTATACAAAGAATGTGATGAATAATTCTGGAACAGAAACCCATGCCTTCATTCACTGGTAACGACTGAGGCAGCAGTGTCAGAAGCTGTAACATGGCATCAAATTATTGTCGACCTGGACCACCGTAGCTGTAAAGTTCTTCAAACTGAGCAGCAGCAGGAGAGGACGCGTCAGAAGACTGTCCTGGATGAAATGTCAGGACGGAGCCAGGAGCCAAAGCCCGGGCTTGGTGCCCAGGCCATGAAACTTTGCAGTCTTTGAAAAACTAATTCTCATTACTGTAATCATATAATTACAAACGAAAATGGGAATCAAGATTGTTTCTATCAGAAGGTTCTCCTCCTGTTCTCCATTCCCACCCACCTTCCCATAATACCTCTTAAAGGGGGCATCTCTGGACGAGCTGACATAGAGATGGCCCTCTGACTTGGATCCAGACACAGGAATCTTCAACTGGGGGTGTAAAAGGAGAGATATAATTGGATATGGTGTTGTCCTCTCAAGAGATGACAAACTGATGCTTTCTAGAGCTAACCCTATAAAATCCAGTGATTATCCACAGAATCTGGTTGTTTTCTAACTTGAGCCTTGCTGGAGAATTCACCTGATTTTTCCTTCTGTCTCCTTCCAAATGTCCCCCCCTCTTTGGATGGTTTGAGGAGGTCAATGGCAGGACTGCCATCGACCACTGATCGCCATTGAGGAGGGCCTCCTGTCTGGCAATGAGGACTTATGCACAAAACTCAATGCTCTTAGTACTTACAACAATTATTCAAAAATCCACTGTTAAAATAGAACAAACTACTGATACATGCAACAACACAAATTATCAAAAACACGCTGAGTGAAAGAGCCTTACCCAAGAGTATATAATGCATGATTCCATGTTCTAGAACAGGCTAAACTACGCTGGAAAAAAATGTCAGAAGAGCGACTGCCTTTGGAGGGGCTGGGGATTGAGGGGACCAACTGGGAAGAGCAGGAGGGGCCTCCAGGGTGAGGGGAATAGTCTCCATCTAGACAGGGGCTTCAGTTACACAGGTGGATACATTCGTTAAAATTCATGAGCATAAGGGTGTTTGAAAATGAGATGGGTTCATGGACAAACAGAGATATGGCTAGAAGAAGAGGTGTGGAATAAAGTAAACTGAGCAAAATACTAACTGTAGGATCCAGGGAGCAGATATATGGGCACCACAGCATAAATTCTTTCCTCTTTTCTGTATGTTTGAAACTTTTCATAATAAAACAGGAAAAAAAAAAAAAGTCCACTGTTTAAAAGGGGAAACTATTACCAGCAAATTGGTACACACTTTGGTCTGGACAACAAGGAACAGGCTCTCCGGAAAGTACGTGAAGGCTCATTTGGGAGAGACGACAAGGAGTTCTGGGTTAGGTCTGTGTCCCCAGCCAGCGTGGATGGCACTCATCCCTCTGGTGACGCGGCGCAGACGCCACCACGCCCTGAGCCAGGGGAGTGGGCCCGGGGCCTCAGAGTGAGCCGCTGCTTGCTAATGCTCCTATTTAGAAAAACACTGAATGTAGTATTTTTGGTTTCTGAGTGAAAACTAAAGATGGTTTGAGCCTTGAGAACGGGCCACAATGTGGTAATCAGGAAGCCTGTCCTCGGGCGCCTCCCAGGGCCCTCCTGTGCCACAGGTGACGGCCAAAGGAACTTCCATGGGCTGAGCTGGCATATTTCACCCATTCCAACATGCCACCTAGAGAAAAAACTGCTTTGGTACACACACATTTGTGTTTTCCAAAATTCTCTCTTTCACTTATTTAAACACATTCTAAAGAAGACACAGGCTTTGGGATGGTGGCTCCACAGTCACCTAGTCACACTCAAACGACTCTTCAGGGTTCCACTTTTGGAATCAAGCTGTAGCTCTTCTCAGGGGGTTATAAAATGAAGCAACAGAGCACACCCTGAGCATCTCTGCATGCTAAAGGAAAACCAAAAACAAAGGGAAAGAAAAGGGCACAAGTAAGTCGGATTTTGAAGAACAGCAAACACTGAGGGGTCAACATCTGAACTTTGGGCAGCGCATCTCTGCGAGTGGACAAGGCACGTCACAGGCCAGATGGTGCCAAAGAGTAAGCAGGAGTGTCTGCCACCAAAGTGTTCGTGAAGAGTGACCATTTCACATATACGCTTGGGAAAAAATCCTTCCACATGACAACTACCTCATGAACAACCAAATCTTCTCACCCTGGACAAAATACAGGAACTACAAATAGTGGACTTTGGGATAAGACAGCATGCGCTGTATACAGGCATCCTTACAAACAGCTGATTGTGAAGGAAGGAAGTGAAAAACCTGAGAGAATGTCAACCATACTCTATATACTGGAAGAGCAAAGGCTGGGGCAGCAGACCGCAAACTCCTGCCACCATGGAGTCACAGTGTTTGGCAGCAGCAGAGGCCCAGACCCAGCACCACAGCCAATACCATCCTGGTGCTGCCAAGGGCCCTGGGCTGCAGGGAAGCCCAGGGAGAAGCCCTCTCCACACAGCTGGAATGTGCTAGAAGACTGGGCCAAAGGGAAAGCCGGATCTGACCAGAGGAGGTTCCCCATCAAAACCACCATGGCGTCAACCACGCAAGGGGGCACTGGATCATGGAACTGATCCTGCATCAACCTGCCCTTAGCAAAGGCACCATCAGGCTTCCTGAGCACCTAAGCCGGGCCCTGTGCTCTGTGCTGAGAGACAGTGAACAACTGGACCCAAACCCTGGCCTTCCGAGTTCTCATGCTTGCAAGGATCCAGCCAGGTGACCAGAAATGGGGAAGTACAGAGGAGCCACACCACACTGTGAGGGATTTGGTGACAAAGCACATAAGGCCATCTGGCACAGGGCGGGCACTAAACACATATCCCCCCTTCCCTTTTCCCTCCTGGGTTCCTGTCTCACTCAGCGGCACTGCCATCTTCCCACTCACTCACGTTGAACATCAGAGCATCGCCTTTGCCTCATCCCTCTGCTGATACAAAACTGTTACCAGTCCCAGCACCTGGCCACAGTTGTCACCGGGCCACCAGGACAGCCTCCTCAGCCATTTCTCGTTTCTCCAGGGCACAGCACTGGCTCACGCTCTCACCACTGCATACCTCCTGGCCACAGTGCTCTCCCAAAGGTGGTTCCCTGAATCCAGTCCCTGCACACTGCTAATCTGCCTCAATTTTCCTTCTTTAAAACCAGATCAAATATTTTTATCACAATACTTGAGCATGAATTGCTTTTGCAGTTAGAAAAAAATCCCAATAAAACTATTGCCATTAAAAATAATAAAAACAATAATAGCAAAATATAAACTAGGTCAGATCATCTCACTCTTATCCTCAAAATACTCCAGGGCTTCTGCTGGCCACTGACTCAAGCACGCTCGCCTCACAGAATGATGTCATGGCCTCGAGATGCCCCAGCCCATCCCACCTGCCCACACCCTCGGCAGCCTGCACCTCGGCTGAGGTGCCCTGGCAGGGAGCACAGCGACGTGCCTTCGCGTGCATGCTGCTGCTCAGCCTGGCCTGCCTCTTCTCCACAGCAATCTCCCAGTGCTCCCGGCCTCTGGGCCTCCACCACAGCGGTCGTGTCAGCCTCTCTTATTCCGGAGTTCTAAACTGTGAACTCCCTGACAGCCTCCACGTCCCTGCACGCCCCATCCAGCCTGGAATCCTCTCTCTACCGCAGCACGTGCTCCACACACTTGTTACACAGAACTAATGCATTTTACATTCAGGTGAGCTTTATCAGCTGAACTATAAAAGACGGTAAGCTACAGCTGATAAAATGGACTGGCACTCCATGGAAGCAATGTCAATAACTAAGCTTTAAAACTGGAGTGTAGAGAGCTGCTTATGTTGGAATGAGTGTTGACTGGCTGTGGATGTACTTCAAGTTCAAAGTGGAAGCAAAGGCAAAGTACCACTGGTCACTCCTCCATGACCGTCGGTTCAGGACGGGGACATGAGCACAAACACTGCATTCCCTCCACATCCACTCCCCGGAAAGGAGGAAAAATGTATGAAAATAAATTAATTCACAGTGCTTTTGAAAAAGGTGCTACGTAATACCTAGTGGCAGTTTACAAAGTGGATTTTCCCACCCTCGACTTCCGCAGGACCCCGGCCTGCAGTTCCCAGGGAGAACGTTACCTGGGCATCGGCAATGTCCACGAAGTTGTACCTGTCGGTGAGGTGGAGATAGTGCACGCTGAGGGGAGGGCCCAGAGCTTCCAGAGCCTCGGGGCGGCTGTGCAGCTGCTCCAGCGCTGACTGGTAATAGGAAGCCCTGGAAAAAGCTTCTGGGGGAAAGACAGTTGTTCATTTACTTTTCTTTATTGAACTTGGTCAGGTGGACTCTCTGCAGAAAGTTAAACGATACAATTCAGGTACAGCGTGGAAACAAACTGATGTGCAGTTTATGGGTGGGAGAACAATTAGGAACCATCTACTCTAAACTGGCCATTTTTGAGACTCAAAACCAAAGTCTGGAAAGTCAGTGTCTGTGGGGATGTGGCAGATGATCCTGGGCAAGGTCCTTGACCCGTCTGTGCCTCAACTTCTCCATCCCTCACTTCCTCGCCTTCTTCACTGCCTCATTTCTTCATCTGAGGGGTCTATCAGATCTTCTCTAACTTTGCTTACAGTTCTAAAGTCCTATGATCCTGTGGAAATTAATAAACAGAAACCTCATTAAACTGAGGTCGAAAGGGAAAAGGGAGAGCTTTCCTGCCCTAAGTTGGTAGCAGAGACCAACAGGAAGAAGAAAGACTTCCTCTTCTTGATTGGCAAGAAGCTCGGCCAATGAGAGATGGTCACAACTCAGCCAATGAAAGGCCACTACACTTGGAACTCTCAGTCTCCTCCAAGGCACTCTGCTTACAATAGCCCTCCCAACTTCCTCTTCCCATCTTGAAAAGTTTCTCTTCCCCTTGCTGCTCAGGACTTGCATGTGGTTTGCTATGGTTGCAGACCCTTAATTGCAATTCTTTGCTGATCCTGAATAAACTCAATTTTTCTGGAGAAATAACTGGCTATTTAAGGTCCACAATTCCATGACTTGCTCAAAGTGATACAGGTAGTCCACGGCAGAGCTGGGGCCTGCATCTATGACTCTTGACTTCTAAACACTGCTCCTTCCACTAAGATGACGGTCCTGATAAACCAGCATAAAATAGACCACAATATCAATAACAACAAAACCCATGGGCCAAGAAACAGGACATAAAGATGGTAATTTGTCAAGTTTATAGATTTAAGCCAACATTTATGTAGATAAAGCTAATAAACTACTCTCAGTTTCAGGAACGCTCCTGGCCCGATGGCATCTAGGAACTCCAGGAAGCACCTCCCTGACGTGTAAGGTATGACCAGCTGCCCCAGGGAGAGAGCAAAAGCAGGCTTCCCAAGTAGAGTTTTTGGTTCGGCAACAAGAGGAGCTCCCCTCCACGGCCCAGTCATAGCTATGGAAGGGAAAGGGCTTGAGCCTGGAGAGGACAGGGAGAAGGCCATCCTGTGCGGCTTCCCGGGAATGGGGCAGGTAGCAGCGGATGCTGCGGGTGTAAATGAGGTGCCAGCCATGACAGGCAAAGGAGAAGCAGGCGCTGGGTCCAGACAGCTAACCTTCACTGAGTGATTTCCAAGGCTGGACATGGTTCTCAGTATTTCATATACCTCACAATTCTCAATATCTCACAGGTTGTGAGATTTAATTTTCGCAACTTTCTGCATAGGCACTAATATTATCCCTCATCGCACAGATAAGCTGACCGAGGCCCAGGAAGGTGATGGACTCCCCGACAAGGCCACATAGCTTGTCAAGAGCTGGAGCTGGGACTCAATGCAGGTAGAGGCTGCAGAGCCGACTCCAGCCTCCTAAGGGGAAAAGGCTGTCAGTCCCCTGCCCATGAAATGCGCCCATTCCTTTCGTGTCCTGCCTCTGTCCCTTTGGCAGAGGGGAGCGGAGGCTGAGCTATCCCAGTCTGCATTATCCCTGGGAATGCTCCTCCTGGGCCACCTCTAGACCCAGGGCCCTCTGGGCCAACTCTGAAGGAAGGTGCGGAGAGGACACAGCGCTCTGTTTGCCTGTCTGCTGGTGAAACACCCTGGCAGGAAGTGAAAACGCTGCAGAGTCAGCGTGAGAAGCCAAGCTGGGCGGGCAGAAAGGAGCTTCAAAGAAGTCAGTCTAGAAAAACTGCTGGCTGCTTCGCAACCAGTAGCATTGAAATGACCTTAAATGTCTTGGCTGCTCACAATGATTGTGGCCTGTCTTTACAAATTCAAATTTGGGTACAGTGGGGCTAGAAGCAGCATCTGTCAGGGTTTTGCCATCCTGGACGGCTTTTATTTTGTGCTTTCGCCAGGGTCCCTTGCTCAAGGTCTCCTCCTCTACTCAATCAGCAGCAGAGAATGGGAGGGCAAACAGGCTGACGACACTTGAGAAACAGCCAGTGTTCTCCACCTGGGAACCATCTGGTCTGCCCCTTCCCTCTCTTCTTCGTGTAATCTTGGAAATCTTGACAGATCTCCTTGCTTTTTGCAAGACTTCTTACACAAATGAATCCTGGTCTTTTATCTGCATCTGGGGCTCCTGGAAAAACTGGGATTACAGAATAAGGGGGAAGCTATAGCCAATGGAATGGTGTACCAGCTTCTAAATACAGCCCTCCCCTCCTTTCTCTGATCTGCTTAAAGCATCGGAAGCATTTCCTTTGATGGAGAAACAGGGACAGGAGAACCAGGAGGCAGCCACGCCTCAGGCGGCTCACTGGACACTCACTCTGTATAAGGTAATATATCAGGGTGCAGCTCCCACCAGCCACCACGCTGCCAAAAAGGACCAGTTTCTGCAGAGGCATTGACATCCTGCTTCCTGGAGACTTAAAAAAAAAGAGGCGAATTTCTCGTTAGATTCAGGTTTGTGCCTGGATTGGGCCCCACAGGGAAAGGAAAGCTAAGGAGGAAGTGAGCAAGGAGGTGAGGCCACCTTCCCTCATTTGCTTCCTTGCAGAACACCAGGGCCGGTTCTGGAGCCAAAGCAAAAGTGCCCTCCCGAGGGTGGCCTGCATCCAGGACCCAGGCCATGGGGGTGACGGCCGAGCACAGAGCAAGCATTCAGCCCTGCCGTCCTGACAGACAGAACCCAGCCTGTGTGCCAAGTCCCTCACTGCCAGGAAGCACAACCACTTTGTCTCAGGCCGGCTGGTAAACAGGAAGCTTATCCTTTTGCTGCAATAGCTGGTCTTGTAAGCCTACGAATGGGCCAGAGTGGTCACTGGCTGCTTTCTTTCATATTTTGAAAGATGTCCCACCCCCTGGATGAGGAAACTGTGGTCATGACTTTCAGGCTGAATGAAGAGATGGAGAGGAGCCAGCTCAGCAAATTCAGCACACCCATACCACCCTGGCCTTAACTCCTGGCCCCTGAAAGCCCGGGTGGGGCTAGGAGCAGCATGTGGGCCTCGATGGAGCCAATTATCCTCCTTCCTGGTGGCCATTTAACCACTGCTCACTCCCGGCCTGGGCCTCTCTGGAAGGCTATAAGATACTCGGCCATAAAACAGAGTAGGACAGTGGCTGGGATCGGGGGTCACAAGTCAAATGCCCAAAGGGCCAGACAAGTCACATCAATGAGAGCTGACCTTGAAAAGTGAGGCACACACAGCCCAGCCAAGGGGCAGCTTCACCCGGCTCCAGCTAACTGCGGCCATGTGGGCCAAGTCTGGAAGGATCTTCCAGTTTTTCAAGAGGTCTTTTATGTGAAATTGCCCGAGTTCTAAATGTTGACAACCGCCCCAATTAAAAACAAAAAAAACCTAACAAAATACATTTGTGAGTCAGTCTTCCTGAGGACTTCCAGTCTGCTGTGACCACCCAAGCTGCATCAGGGCGTCCTCACCCGAGGTGAGATTTAGGTAAATTCCTCTTTGTCTGTCTTTGAAGCCATTTCTCCAAAAAGAAATGAGATTTGGGGCAGAGACGGAAATTTCACCTTTAGTAAAGGAAAAGATGACTATAAGTGTTTATGTCCCCATTTAAAGATTTAACCTTAGATTTTATGTGCTTCTTTAGAAAATAAAGGCTTTAATGTGACCTAAAGGGGTCTGAGGCATTGCTGTGCAAAAGAACTGGGTAGAAAGCTAGTTCCTCCACCAGCCAGACCTGTGAGTCCAGATAAACACTCTCACTATCCGCTTCGCCACCTTCTAGAATACGGAGGGTAACAACAACTGTCTACCTATCATTTCTGAAACCTGAGGCAAATGAATCCATAAGAAAGCCTGTTGGAGAAAGCTCTTCACGTGGATTATTCTTTCTAAGAACTGATAATTAAACACGTCCTTGGATAGGGCTAAAGTTGACCAGAATAATACTGAATCCAGATTTATGTATATAAAGGGTTTTGATCAACTTATCTAACTAGGGAGGTGAAGTTTTAGATCATTTTTGTCTTATTTACTTATATATACTGTTTTGCTCAACTAAGAAAAGGCTGCTGAAACCCCAGACAAACGTACTGCATCTGCTGTGAAAGTTTCGGCCGCTGCTGTATAGTACATAAGAGTATTTATCAGAGTGGAGTGTAAAGTCAATTACAATAATGTGATCTGGGAAAAGCCATTTTAGTCTCACAATGAAAAGGGTCAGAGCATCTGCAAAGAATGCATTAGTCAGATCTTGCTTAATGTGAAGGGGAGCTCAGCAGGGTGGGGCAGTGAGCGCGAGTTACGCAGAGCCTCCCACAGGCTGTAGTTTCCAAAGGCAGCGTTGAGATGCAAGGGAAGAAGCATCCTGAACAACGCAAAGAACAGCCCCCAGCCCTCATGTGATGTCACAGCCACAAGTGCCACCGAAGGCCAGGAGAAACCCACCACCAGTCAGAGAGCAACTGTCACCTACTGTTCAACTTGAGGACACCCTCGTGGGTTCTAATGGGGCACTTGGTTTGGGAACATTCATTACCTTTTGCTACTTCGTAGCACAGCTTTCTTGAAAATCAAAGGAAAGTTGTCCTGCAATCAGATAAAGATTTTACATTAAAATCACTTTTTCAAACGCAATTCTCTCTGGTTTCTACTTTTATACAGCCAAGATGTATTATTAATCCAAGCTTCAGAACAGGAGCAAGAAGTTAAGTTTAAAGTCTAAAACTAGCCTTGTCTGTAAAAGGCCCTTGTTTTCTCCCCTTTCTCTTTGGCCATATTAAGAAGAAAAACACAGCCTCTTGGTTTCCTGTCTATGCAGTGTATCTTTCGTTGCAGCAACCAGAAAATCGTGTGGGCGGGGGCGGCGCAGGTGTGTGACTGCAGCGCACACAATCAGGGGCCAGTCAGCACCCGCCCACACAAGATGCTCTCAATACAAGATGTATACCATGGATTAAAACAGCTTCTCAAGGTTAAACAGAAACAGTGGTATACTAAATGTAGACATAGCCTTTAATAATACTGATGATAACAGAGAACACATCATCTCTTACTATGATGTGCCTGGTACTATTCCAAGGACTGTACATATAATAATTCATTTAATTCTCACAACAACCCCATGAAGGAGGAACTATTGCTATCATCCCCATTTTACAGATGAGCAAACTGAGGCACACAGGGGTTAGGAAAGGTGCCTGAAGTCACACAAAGAAGTACATAAGTGACAGAACTGGGATTCAGACCCAGGCAGTCTAGCTCTGGGGTCTGTGCTCTCAACCTCTGTGATACACCAACTTTAAGATTTCTGCTGACTTCATAAATACTGAAATGTGAAAAGCAAATGTCTCTGAATTACAATATATTCATAACGTTTGGTGCAACAGGCCTTGTCAGGTATGCCTTCCCTACTATTTCTCCAGACAAGAGCATGGCATGTATTTGTACCTTCTTTCTTTCACTTAGCAAATGGTTGTTGAGGGCCTGCGCTGCTCAGACAGACAGTGCTGCAGAGAATACAGACAATTCACAATAATTAGAGCCATAGAGTACAGCTGTGCGGTTGGGCACAGCACAGCCCTAGCAGGGCGCCACTCACAGGGTAAATATCCTAGACTCATACATTAAGACCGTTTTCCAACAGTTGGAAGTTCTATAAAGTGTCTCAAAAAAGCTGAGGGGGAGCGGTCTTTTTCAAATTTGCACAAAGGCACCTGTGGGCGAGCAGCAGCCTGGTTAGTGCCACCAGACCCAGGTGTGGGCACCAGGAGAGGAAGCAACATCCGGGAAGTGGTCAGCCCTGCCCGGAGGGGATCAGCAGAGGTTTCACAGAGGAAACTGACTCTGAAAAGAGAAAGGGGAATAAGTGGGAGAAGGGCTTCAGATCAGTGGAAATGGCAAGCAGTGGCAGAGAGGCAGAAACAAGAGGTGCAAAAGTATGGAGAGCCGGTGGGGAGCCACAGGAAATCGGTCTGGAAATGGAGGGAGTTACTGCTAAGAAAGGCCATCTACCCTGGGCTGCTGGGCTCCACTCTGCTGCTGAGGGGCTGCAGAAAGATCTCTGGGACACAGAGGTGGGCAGATGGGGAGGAGAAGGGATAGAGCAGGACAGCCAAGAGACCCTTGCGGCAGACAGCAGAACCAAGAGCTAAGACCGAAGTAGCCAGAGTGGATCAAAAGGATGATTTCTTAAAATATTTAGAATAATTCTTATTTATGTGCTAATTTGTACACCAGCTCATTCGAAAAAGGATGATGGGGCTAACAAGGATACACACTTCAGAAGAGAAGGAAATAAATGGATGAGGAAATGAAGACAAATGGAAAATAATTTTAAAAAGAGAAATACAGCTGGGGTAAAGTTAGTGCACAAAACCACACTCTGATGCAACAGGTACTTCCTCAAGGCAGCCACAGACTTGACACTGAGCTGCCAACCTGCTCAGGAGAAAGGGAAGCCTGAGCAGCTACAGGGCCCAGGGTGTCCATGGGGTCACATGAATCAGCAGCCAAGGAGGAAAACAACATTTCCTAATAGCACAAGAAGCCCGGGAAAGCTCTCTCCCATGCATGCTCAGAAAGGGATTCTCTGAAGCGGCTGGTGTTGCACACAACATCCCTAGTCTTTTTTTTAAGTTCACAATTTTCAAATGACTATTTTTATAACATCCCATAATGAAAGCCACAATCACAATCCAAGAAAAAACATAAACAGAATTTCACAAGTGGCCATAACAGTGAGGACTCTGGGACTCTGAGGGGCCACCTTGGTTCAGTGGAGAGAGAAGGCAGTGACAATCAATCTGGTCTCCAGGGAGCCGCTCTGTGCATCAGAGGGGTGAGGGCTTTGGGAGCAGAAGGCAGAACAGGGGCTCAGCCCCGGCCCCTTCCTAACCAGCTGCAGTTCACCCGCACCGTCAGCTGTCTTTTCGAAGAGAGTGTTCAGTAGACCCCTAACCTCACACACACACACAAAATAAAAAAGACAACTAGAAAGATTTTAGGCCACCTCCAGGAACGTTTTAGATCTAAGCTTCCTATAAGAATTGAAATATTTAAAATTTGATGTGAAAATCTGCAAGAAACTCAAACTCAGTCTACTAGGCAGCCAATTAAGGGAAGATCTTTTTGCTTTACAGTCAACCAAGGGGAAAGGGTTGAGACCTGCTTTGAAAATTAAGGGGCTGGTTAACCACGGAAGTGGGGGAACGAAGTCCAGGCAGCGTCTCTCCAGAAAGCAGTCCTGTAGCTCTGCTCAGACACACAAAGGGTGACTTAGGCTCTCAAAGGCCAATGGTTAACAAAATTTTTTTGAAGTACAGAACCTCTTTCTGGAGCCAAAGTGCAATCTGTCAGACAGATGCTCTGGGCAGCCAAAGGGTTCCAGCCACAGGCAGCAGCTGACCAGGGAAGGGTGAAAGGAGTCAGGTGGTACAATCTCAACTTCGCTGCACATTAGAGTTTAAGAAAGAAACCAGATGTCCAGGCCAGACCCCAGATAGATTAAAATAGACTGGGGGTGGGATCCAGGCAATCGTGTTTTTTAACCTCCTCAGGTGATCCTAACATGCAGCCAAGCTTAGGAACCAGCAGTCTACGGGAGCAAAGCACAGAGAGTCAGCACACGGCCTGAGTTTCGAAGGCAGGTCAGGTGATCCTTTAGGGGCTCCTGGGAAGTTAGAGAATAGAAACAGCTATTGCTCTATCCACGCCACACACACTACCTCCCCACCGCATCTTGAGACATACAGAGCCTGTGGCAATAAACGGAACAGACTCCTCTTCCCAGGGATTCCAGTACTGGACAGGAGACAGACTACCCTCGGGCCAGGTGAGATGGTGGGAGCCTCAAGTAGAGATCTGCCAAGCCTCAAGATAAAATCCCTGAGCTTAATAAGAGGTGGGCTCAGGAGACTGTCACAGCAAGACAATCATCCCAAAGCCCAGCTGAGAAAGATGGACCAAACTACAGACAAAAATCCTTGATTTTTAAGAGGCATTTTTCTCACACTGTAATATTTTTGAAATTGGGATATGTCTTACAAGCTGAGACTATTTATTAAAGTGACTCTTTCCTCTACACTCCCACATCCAAATTGGTAAAACTGAGGTTCATCTTAATATGCTAGAAGTGGGCATTATAAGAAGCTGAAGTAGGAGCAAGGCCAGAAGCCTATCCATGACCCCAGGACCAGTGACCTCCCAGCAGGCCTGTTAACATCCCATGGTTCTCTCTCATTCTGAGCTTTGCTAGGGCAGACCCACTCCAGGCATAATCTACCCACTCGCTTCATTTCCTCCGGGTGACATATGGCTGGCCTGGCTTGTCCCACATTTGAGTGACGACTATGGGCCAGGGACAATGCAGGGTATTCTATAGGCACTACTACTATTTCTTACAATAACTGAAAGGTAGATATTATTTTTGCCTTTTTAGAGCTAGGCAGAAAGCCTCAAGAAAGGATCTGAAACTTGCTCATGGTCACGCAGCTATTCCACAGCAGAGCTTAAATGCACCTGTCTGACTCAGTCTTTCCACCGAGTGACAAAACCCACGTTACAGACCACGGATTTCAGAACAATCAGCGCCTCATACAGGTGGTATGTGCTGTCCAAAGCCACGCCAAAAGTTCACAGGAGCCATCTGCCGGGAGCACATCTCCACTGCTCTGTGAAATTGTTTTAATCAGTATATCCCCAAGTTATAATTTCAGGGGTCAAGACAAAACAAAGAGATATAAAATCTACTTAGCGACTACTAGGGGGAGAAGGAGAGAAGCGGTCTCCCCTGGTTGTCGACTGACACTGCCCACTGCTACTACCTGCTGAGGACTGACTATACATCCTTCCGGCCTTTAAAAAATCTAACCAGGACGGGGAGGAGAGGGAGTGCTTAAGAACACAGACATGAAAAAGTTAAGGCAGTCAGAATTAAAATTAGAATGAAAGAATGATAAGGAACATAAAAACCAAAAGGACCAAAAATAGAGGAAAAACTCAGAATTTAAGAAAAAAAGAATAGCAAAGTAAAGAAATAAAAGAGGGCTAAACTTTAAAAGAATGAAATGCATTATATTTGAGATAAGGGAGTCAAAAAGGCTAACACCAAAAAACAAAAAGATAAAAGCACGTAAGTAAACATGATAAAAGATTAAGAAAGAATTTAAAGAACTTAAATGTTCTCACCAAACACAATAAAATAAACAAACATGTGAGGTGCTGGATTTGTTAATGAACTAGACGGGAGGAATCCTTTCACAGTATGTATGTATATCAAATCATCACAGTGTACATTTCAAATATCTTACAATTTTATTTGTCAATTATACTTGGATAAAAATGAAAAAAAAAGGTGATTATGTTAAAATGAGGCCGTCAGGGTGAAGCTCTAATCCAGTATGACTGGGGTCCTTATGAGATGAGACACCAGGGCTGCACAGAGAAAACCATGAGAAGAGGCAGCAACAGGGAGACCATCAACAAGCCAAGGAGAGAGGCCTCAGAAGAAAGCAAACCTGC